CCTGCCCGCAGGGGGGAGGCTGCCCGGAGCCGGGAGCACCCAGCAGGAGGAGGCAGCTGCTGTGTTCGCCGGGAAGGTCAGAGCTGCGGGCTGGGGGAGCTTTGGGACCTTTCTCGGGGGGAATTTCAGCTCCCTGCAGCTGCGGCTGGGTGCTGCGCGGAGTCTGGGCTGAGCCGCTGCTGCTGCCCCAAGGGCACGGCTGGCAGCAGCCTCGCCTCGCCCGTGTGTGGAAGCAGCTCCCGTGCTGGCAGCCAAATCCAATTTCTATCGGGTTTCGATCAAACGTGGTGCTTAAATCTGGGAGCGCTCGGTTCCCTGTGCGTGAAAATCCTTGAAGTAGCTAAGCTGAGCAGTTTTGGGAATTCCAAGTGTTGTGTCCTTATGATTCTTAATACAATATTTAAATAAGTAATATTTAATTGAGACAGTATCAAGTGGATTTCTTAGAGTGGCAGAAATGTTTTTTTCACCTGGAAGTGTGTTGGGATAATCAACTTTCCCTATGTCAAAACGAACTGGTATTCCTTCTTTTCCCTTTTGTTCTTTCTAGACTGTGGAGCATTGGGAAGAATATTCGGCATAGAGAAGTGAAAGGCACGAGGGAAGCTCCACGTTCCCGAGGAAATGCTTTAGGCACCACATGCAGCTTCTGAACAGCACCGATAATCCCGACTCCCACAGAAACCTCCTGAAAATGGAAGGGACGGGGAAGAAAATTCCAGGAGTGGTGTGGGAAGCGCTTTCACCCAGGTCTGGACAGCGTTGCGGTTGGAATGGCTTCAAAATGACCCTTGTGCCTCTCCTGTTGCCAGCCCAGGACTAAGTCTGTGTTCCCTGCGTGTGGAGGGAGGAAACCTGTGCTGGAGAGTGGGAGAAAGGTCCCTGCTGGTCGCTGTGTCCTCGGTGGGCAGAGAACTCTGACCTTGGCCAGGTGAGTGAGGAATGGGAGTACGGAATCCATCCTGCCCCCTTTTGACTGAGCTGTTCTCGGGAGTCATCAGCAGGGACCGCTCTTAGCTGGCTTCAGTTCAGCTTCTTTCTCACAGCTTTTGGTGCTGGCATCACCAAACCCTGAAGTTTGCTAAATTAACCCTGAGAAGGTTCAACAAACCAAGCCTGAGGGAACTGGGGAGTGGATAGCCAGCTTCCCCCCGAGCTCTGGTCTGCAGGGAAAGGAACAGCTCGGGAATTCTGTACAGCTGTGTTTAACACGCGGTGGATTGGGATGATTTTCTGGGAGCAGGTTGTCTGTCCTGATCTGTTCCCTTCCCTCTCTCTGTCAGGCTGGACCTGCACAAGGGCCAAGGTGAGACCAGGATCTGTGAAATCTCCCACTCCCTGTGTCTGGCCCAGGCTGAAGCCGTGTTTGCTGTCGGTGCTGACGGAGTGGGAGCTGCTGAAGACTGGAAACTCCTGCTCTTCCCCTCAATCCCAAGACTGTGGCCATAAGAGGCTTCTTTCCTGGTTCCACCTTCAGGACACTTCCAAGTGTGTGGAGGAAGCCAGGCTGTGCCAGCATGGGAACGGTTGGGACACACCGAGCACAGCTGGAGCTGCTGCCCAGCCCTGTAGAACTCCTGGAAGAGTTTATGGCCTCAAAAAGTTCTTTTCTATTCTGCAGAATTTCTCTAGAACTCAATTAAAAATAATAAAATTGTACCAATGTGGTTTTGATTGGTTCATTTGCACAGGTTAATTAAAGGAAATGATTGGCAAGGAGCTTGGTTGGAGCTGGCAGCTCTTCCTTCTTGTCTCTTCATTCTCTGAATTTCTTTGAATTATTTCTTAAGCAGTTGCTGCAATCAAGATCCCCCATGGGGAGAACAGCATTGTTGGATTGGGAAATGTAAATGCAATTCCTGGGAGGGACTGAGGGGATGGGGAGCTGAGCTGAGCCTGGGTTTTGGGTGAGGAGGGGAGAGGGGAGAACCCCCAAGATTGGTTAAAGCCAGATTTGCTGGGTTTGGGCCAAATCCACCCCAAAAAATGATCCTGTTTGAAGGGGACTTGAAGCAGCGGGATGTGCTGGGGGGGGCTGTGCTGGGACCCCCAACCCCTGGTCAGGAATGCTGGGCAGTGCCAGGTCCAGGGGGACACTATGGGGGCGATGTGCTGGCACCCCTAAACTCCAGTCAGGAATGCTGGGAAGTGCCAGGTCCAGGGGGACACTATGGGGGGGATGTGCTGGCA